TGGATGGTGGATAGATGGATGGTGGATGAATGGGTGGACGGTTAATGAACGAGTGGATGAATGGATGTATGGATGGGTGAATGGTAGATGGTGGACGGATGGGTGGATGGGCAGGTGGATGGATGGATGGGTGGATGGTAGATGTTTGGGTGGATTGTGGATGTTGGATGGATGTATGGATTGTGGATGAATGGGTGGGTGATGGATGGGTGGATGGATGAGTGGATGAATCTGTAAGACACTGAGAGCTATAGGGAACACAAAAATGAATATGACCCGATCTGTCCCCTCCGTAGTTTGAGTGGGTTAAAGAACAGAAGAAGTAGTCTTAAATAACATCAGTGTAGGATAACAAGAAATGGTTCAAATGACTACCATGGGGGTACAGGCCTCTGGAAAATGTATGTTACAACAAAGCCTTGTCTCATTGGCTCGCTGGCCTCTGCCTCAGCAGGTTTCTGTCCTGCTACCCTGCCTCCTTGCCCACCCATTGCTGTGTTCTTGTGTTGTGGACTTTTTCATAACTAAGGCCAAATTTATCTCTCCTGTGCTCTGTTTCCAACACATCTGAGAGTATTAACAGCTTCATTGGTTAACTCTTCCAAGTAACCTTTTTGCAGTTTAACATGTTAAGTTCATGGAACCTTCTGGCACCACAGCAAAGGGGGGAGGAAGAGGATCTGGAAATGAGACAAAATATTTTTGGGTCCAGTCAAGTGTAACGACCAGAGTAATGACCTTCCAGGCAATGACTTGACTATGAGAACAGCCCCTTTTAGACCCTCCCCGCAGTGGGGCCTGCTGGTCTGTCTTGGGGTGGTGACCCATTATTGAAGTCACACCAATGATTTGCACCATGCACTGGGACACCCCAAACACTGCCCCAAATATATCTTAAGCTCACGGGAGAATTTTCTCTTTTTCAGGCCAATGCAGAGCTCCACCTCTGACATTCACCTCAGAAACTAAACACAAGCTGGAGAAAACGGCAGCCAAGTGAGAAAGGCATGAGAACCCCACGCTGTCAGGAATTCAGGCAGAGCTCCCAGGAATGCCAGGCTGTGTGCCAGCGGGGACACAGGCCATGGGCCGTTGAGACTCCTGGCCAAAAGGAGTCACCTACACTCCAAGCCTCACATCAGCCTACAAGACAGCACATTATCCCAATTTAAGTGCACTGATAGCAACACACCGTGCACTCACATTCGGTACCCTCGCTCGCCACACGCTGCTGTTTCTTCCTCACGCTCATGGGTAGAACAGCATGGAGGACAGCAGAGCCACATGGTGCTAGCCCCCACGCAGCTTATCCCAGGGGAACAAGGATTGCAGACCTTGCAGGAAGATATCCCTTGTCTGTATGTACCCATTTTGTGCAGGGCAGGGACGCTGAATAGAGGAGTCCAGCCCCAAAGGGCACGTTTGAGGTGGCCTGCTAGTTTAAAATAGGACTCTGGGACTAAAGAGCATAGATTCTGCGACCATTGATATCATTTTGAAGGCGTCGCCAGCCCCCCCTCTCCGCTTCCTGCCCACTGAAAGCCAGCGGGCTCTCGGGGCGCTCCTGGGCCATTCCTTACCGCGACCATGGCGTGGATCCTCGCGCCGGCGTCCTTGACCGCCATGTAGCGTCTGTTGAGGGTGCTGAGCCTTCCATCCAAGTCTAACAGGGCTTCTTTCTTGTTGTCCTTTCTTTCAAACATCGGGTTGGCCGACCAGTCCTGAAAGGAAAACGAGAGCATGAGAAAAGCATTTGGAGAAACTGCTTTTGGTGTCGCCCCTTCACTGCATGTCTCTTTGCAGTGAATGTCCTTGTCCCTTGCTTGCCCCTGTGAGGCCAAGGCCGCCATGGACTGTTGACCAGACAGCCTTAGATGCTTTCACTCCAAACTCATCAGCGCCTTGGAGGGGAATGCTGGCCTCCTTCTTCTAGGTAACTCGTGAGGCTCCTTCTATTGGGGGTAGCCATCTCTAGACTATCTCTGTGACACCAGCGTGTACGATGAAGGCTTAGCTCACTGGCCTCCTTCCGGTTTGATATTTACATGGACCTTTTTTGAATTAGTTATTACAGGTCTGATGGGCTGACATAAATTGTTTCTTTCCCAAGAACTTGGTTTTCTCATTAAGCCAGGCAGTCAGATGCCACCCACTGTCTTGTTTGGGTTGTCGATTTTTAGATGGAGTCCTGTGTGGGAGGGCACGCCTGGGAGAGCCAGCATTCTTCCAGACGCTACTTCTGCGCCTCACTACCGAGCGTGCTGCCCCTCCATCCATCGCCCTTGACTTTCAGCCTCGTCGCTTTGCAGTTGCAGCTTCTGAACGGCTATAAGGAGGAAGTGGCTGGGGAAGAGCCGTGAAGTCATGGTTCTCACCTGTGACTGGCCCAGCGATTGTTCTCCCTGTACCTGGGACTAGTGTGGCGCCTACTGTATGGATAACATGTCTGTGTCCCTCCCAGATTTGTATTGAAGCCCTAACCTCCAATGTGATGGTGTTTGGAGGTGGGGCCTATGGAAGGTAATTAGGTCGTGAAGGGGACCCCATGATGGGATCAACATCCTTATAAGGAAAGGAAGAAAGACTAGAACACACTCTCTCTCTCCCGCCTCTTTCTCTCCCCACCGTGAGGATACAGTGAGAAGGTGACCATCTACAAACCAAGAAGAGAGCTCTCACCATAAACCAAGTCTGCTGGCACCTTGACCTTGGACTTCCAGTATCCTGAACATCTTTGCTGTTTTGATGCAAGGGGAAGCCATGTCAGAACATACCCCTACACGCAATAACCTCCTCAGAGTCGTGGAACCCATAAGAGATAAGAGACAAGGTGGCCAGATCTGGAGACGAATGTGAAGATGCTCAGAGTTCCAGAAAGGGGTACATGCGAGTCATGAATCGACTCAACAAGGTGCCAGGGGCTGAAGAAATACTGCCAGTTTCAGATTGAAAGCACTTCACGAGGTCCAGGGAACATTAACAAAAGGAGCTTCACATCTCCTGGACACACTCTGGCAACATTTCTCAACCCTGAAGATAATGAAGAACTATACGTATCTTTAGATAGAACAGGAGCATATGAAGAAAAGTCATACCATCCTCAGCCTTCTTGACACAGAAACTACAAGGCAGGGACTTCTACAGGCTGAGCTGGGTCCACCCCCCACATTTATGTTGATGTCCTAACCCCCAGCACCTCAGGATGTGACTGTATTTGGAGAGAGGATATTTAAAGAGGTGATTAAGTTAAAACTAGGTCATCAGTGTGGGCTCTGATCCAATATGACTGGTGTCCTTATAAGAGTTTAGGACACAGACACACACAGAGGGATGACCATGTGGACACAGTGAGAAGACGGCCGTCTACAAGCCAAGGAGAGAGGCCTCAGGAGGAACTAACCCTGACAGCACCTTGATCTTGGACTTCCAGCCACGAGAACTGTGATAAAATAAAGTCCTATTGTTTAAGCCACTCCCTCTCTGGCCCTTTGTCATGACAGCCAGAGCACAATAACACAGGGACATTTCTAGACTGTCGAAAAAAAAGAACCATATCAAAAATTTCTTCACCTGGACAGGAAAGCTGTAGGTGAGGTGAAAAGAAAGATATTTTTGGAAGCAAGGACTCAGAAAGTCTGCCACCAATGTACCCTTTCTAAGGAAATAGTCCATTCAAATGAAAATTGCATCAGGAAAAAAAAATAGTGTTGTGCAATGACTTTTGTCTACAATTTTTAGTGAATCCAAGTGTTTAGCAAGGGCAATAATGGAGAAGACGCTCACTGGGAAAAGCCAGAGGCATCTCGAAATGAAAATGTTAACGATGGTCTGGGGCAGGAATTCTAAAATATTTCAGCTTGGGAGTTTGTGGGGGTGGAGAGGGCAGGGGTGGAAATCAGCAAGATGGCGGCCCCGTCTTGGCGGGTATGGGGCAGTGATCCGCATGGCGGGGCATCGTGATTATTTAAAGCTGATATATTGGTAGAGAAGTAGAGCTCAAACATGATTGTTTTTAAAAATAAATTGGAGTTTCACAGTGGACATTACAAATTGATGGGGGCAGGGATTTAAAAAACTTCTTTTTGAAAAAATGGCTACAGCTGTTTTTGAAAATAAGGGCGTTGGTGACAGAGCCTGGGGGAGGCCAGTGAGGGGTTTCCTCGGTTTCTGGACTGTGCTTGAGTGAAGGGCTGTGCTGCTTCTGTGCTGAGCAATGGGCTTGTTCTAGGCGGGCCTGAGTCTCTGCACACCTTCCTGCCCCTTGTTCCTGGTGCCAGCCTGGCATAGAGGGGACCCTTCACATCCGCTTGCTGAGCCCCACAGGACAGACGAGCACTGATTCCGCAGAGGGACCAGAGGCTGACATGCGTGTGTGGTCCCGAGCCTCAGAGAGCAGATTTCTGCCGCCTTGGCACTTCCCTGAGCAGGCATCCCAGCGCCCGTCTTCCCAGGACCCCTGTGTGCGGGCGGTAGTGGGCTCACCTTCATGGCCTGGGAGATGCCCTCTATGTTTTGCTTGGCTTTCTGTATCCTGTTCTGCAGGTTATAGAGAATTTCTCGCATCTCCTGAATATATTCAAACACACCTAAAACAAAAGCAGGAAGGAGTCTTACAAAACGGACGATTCAGCAGAAAGAAAACCTCTCTTGGGCTGGCTTAACACTCATTACAGGAGACGGCGCTTGGGAAATCTGTCTGGTCCCCTGGACCATGAAGCAGAAGTCACTGAGGGCTCCCTGCTAAGCAACGCTGAGGGGTACACATGTGGGGCCTCTGGAAGCAGGTCCTCCCTGTCACCACAGGTGGATCGGTGATGTCTGACCAGATCGGCCCTCTGACCAGAATGGAATTCTGGAGACTTTGGCTCCTTTACAGAGCTCTCAGTGGCCTGGATCAGAGCAGCTGGAAGTAGACGTATTCTTGGGCAGATGTGAGAGAAAAGAAGGGTATGGCTTCTTTGCCCAGAAAAGTCCCGGTGGATCCCAGCTCGGGTGTGAACAATCCCACCCCCTCGATGGGATGGCGGAGGAGGGAGGCAGCACGGGGTGCTGAAAAGAGGGCAACAGGCATGTTGAAAGGTCTTGATGGAGAAGGCACAAGGAGGCAGTGCCCACCCAGAGTGGGACCTGGACATGGGGGTTTCTGCAGGTTCTGTGGTGGGGTGACTCGTGGGCATACTTCTTTCTACTTCTCCGACACCTGCCCGACACCTGCCCTGAGCCAGCTGTGACGGGCATTGGCGGTGCTGTCTGCTGTGTCCGCCCACGTGGGGAACCACCACAAGCCCTGGCCTCCACAAGTCCAGCTTGCAAACTCCGAGATCCTTGGCGGTTCCCAAGGAGTCTTTGCCAGATTCCATTTGTAAGGGGCACAAATAGGCTGTTTGGGGACTGGGCGAGTAGGGGGAACTACCCTTTACCTTTACACACGATCCCATTGCAGTCAAAGTGGACCCACCAGCCAGAAGGCAGAAGCGGCCACTCGGCGTGTCTTAGGACAAATGCTGGACATGCCGGACCCCCACCCCACCGACCCAAGTCTAACCCAAGGTGACAGAGATGTGGCCATGGTACCGTTGCCATTCCAGAACAATGTCGTTTCAGCAGCCAATAATTTGACGTCGATAGCTTCCAGTTCTGACTGGATTAGTGGAAACTCTTCATCCATCATGGTGGTCTTTATCTGCAAAGCAAAGGTGACAAGTTTCAGGGCCTTTGTTCCAAATCCAACCAGATTTAAAGTTGTCTCATCATAAGGACTTTTGTTGCTCCGTACCAACCAAACCCACTACAGTCAGTGCTATTTGACTGCGAAGTAAAGGCAAATCAAATTTTGGGCCATTTCAACTTTCAAAATTATTCTTATTGCCAAGGATTTATGTATATACTTAACTTTTACTTACTAACGTTATGGGTAGAAAGAGAAGAAAATATGATAGTTCAAAAACAGGGAGTATATAATCCAAAACCTTTTTTTATTTGGCTTAGAGTCATACAAAGAAAGCCAGAGACACAGATGTGTGTAACTGGGGCATGTCTGGGCTTGGTCACAAGTCTAAGACGTTTGGTACCCCAGGGTCTGCATAGCAGCTGTTCGAGTCATTGACGAAGCAGAGTTAAAATAGTATAGGTTCTATATAATCTTGATACAGCCCTTCCCTGCTCTAAGAAATTAATTTAATGTTTGAAAATCGCAATTCACACAACAGAAAAAAAGGAGATGGGTACAGTTTTTATCAATTATTCCTTTAAAGAACACACACCATTTGGGCACTGGAACACCCTTCTAGCCAGCAACAGCTTGATTTACACGTAACCTTTCAAGGATAAGGCTGCTCTGTAGAGTAAGGGATGCACGTAGAGCTGAAATTGCGTATTAGACGTGGACTATTTGCCTTTCCAAATAATTCTTTATATACATTTGGTACTTTAAATGGTTCCCCTCAGCTCCCCCTCCCCAACCCCTACCTCACCCCACCAATGCCTTCAAGTATTTTCAGGTGATTAACTCTTAGGAAAGGTGGGTAAGGGCAGAGGAGAAATCAAGCAGAAGCAGAAGCAAGCATCTATGGAATTACACATAAAACAAGTCAAAGTGAAATAGGATCGCAGTTATCGGGGTTTGGTTAGCAAACGCCTCTACAGGGCCTTGGCCTCCTCCCAACTGCTGGCACCCTGGCTTTGAGAATATCTCCTAAGTCAGGCCATCGCATCACACGCCTCTTTAGTAAGTTTGTAACTAAACTGCTGTGACTAGAGTTCAGGGGTGAGCCCTTTGTGCGGAATTTAACCAGCTGGAAAAAGGTGCTGAGTTTCTAATGACTGGACCTTTGACAAAGGACGCAGGGCTGGCCCACCTGGGCAGCTGCGGACGGAGTGTCCTTCCTCAGGTCACTCGGATACTCAGGAGGACAATTTATGGACCATTCCTCGTAGAGACAGCTCAGAAGGGTGGCTAAATATTAGCACACCCTTGTAAATGCCACAGTAGACAAAGCTCATGTTGATAAGATCCATTTAATACACCTATTATTTTTCGACAGCCTATGTTATAAATCCACACCCTTAGGGCACTTCCCCCCCCCCCCGAAATGTGATCTGGGGAAAACACCACTCTCGCATGCCCCTCAGACGCCCCAGCTGGTTCCATAAAGCAATGTACCCCTCTCATCCATCTGGGGTGCTAATGAGGATCAGTAGTTGGGGGTCTGTCGGCAACAGAAACCATGCTTAGGGGAAGAAATGCTTCTAAGGGCCTAGGAGCATCTCCACGGCGGGTGGGCGGACTGAGTGGACAGTGAGACTCCCTGCGGCACTCCGTCCGGCCTGACTTCCCTCCTCCCACCCTCGTCCAGCAGTGCCCTCAGTGTGACAGCTCCCCTCACGGCGGCACAAGCCCGTTTCCCGGGTGGGACAGCGTGCACCCGGAAACATGGAGGCGGAAGATCAATTTTTTGCTTTCTTCTAACTGACTTTGGTTGAGATAGTTTTTCCCGATTGCATCATTGCAGAAAGTCTTTTGCACTGAGAGTAGCCCCTGAACATTTTTTCGCATTCGAGTTTCTCCAAAGCTCTAACTTTCTCTAAACACTGTGTCTGGGAGGCGTTCCGGGGAGCGGGTGGGCACAAGCTCTCCGAGTCCGAAGCGAGCTGGTTTTGGAGAAAGCTAATCCGAGGAAGTGCACTGAGAGCAGACTCTGTGTTTCATAGTTTGCAGCATAAATACGTCAATTAAATTTTATCTTGAAAAATGAAATGGATGAAAATAATGTCGTTTATGCAGAACACAGTTTAGGTTACATTACCACCACGCCCTCGTTCTTGGAACAGAGTAAGGAATGGATCCGTGGTTGATTCTGTTGGTGGGTGTGTCATGGGTGGCGTGATATTTTTGACAAATCTACAGGCTCGTGTGACCCAACCTTTGGCTTTCCCAGCCCATCATGGAGGAGGCCACCTCCACCGAGAGCCGGGGACTTCCTCAGGCTCCCCAAGGCCTCACTCTCCATCTTTTTATTCCAACCTTCTCTTGCTTGGCATCTAAATTCCTGGGTTTGGTCAAATACATGGCGCTTTCTGGCCACCACGTCCTACATGAGACGTCTGCAGGCAAGTCCTGGGGAATGGACATGCCCTTCGGGTGCACGACGTGACTCCTGCCGATTCTTTCTCTCACAGGAGGAAGGGGTGGGCGTGGCCGTGCCCAGTCAATACCAAACTAGGTGGAACTCAGTAGGGGGCTGGGGAAGGTGGGACAGAAAGTGGAACGGGTTCCCTCTCCATGCCCTGGATGGAACTGGGCATTCATTTGGTCCATGGCCCCTACAAGACAGGCCAGAGAAGGCAACAGAGGCGTGGCCCACGTGGCTCTGGGAGAAGGGCCCTCTCGTCAGGAATCTGTGAGTGTGTAAGCATCTCTTGGGCAGAGGGAGACACAAAACACAGGAACAAAAACATTCCAGGTCCCTGACAGCTGTTCCAGCTGGGGACAAGTTGGCTGCAAGAAACATGAACCCACTTGAGCGAGCTCGAGTCATAGGAGGGGGTGCTGTGCGGGGAAGGCTGCACAGGGAGGCCCCCCAGGCATCGAAGCATCTGGAGCTGGACCTGCACAGTCCCGTCTGGGCTCCTCCTCGGGCCCTCGGGGCCTCTCTGGCCACCTGCGCCGCTGCCCCGCTCTCTGCCTTCTGCCCGCTCTCGGTGTCTCTGATCCCGGGACTCTGGTGTGCACGAGGCTGGGACCCAATTCCAAACTCTCGGGATTCCCACTTTCGGTTAGGTGTGCGCAGCAAGCTAAATGTCTCCCCAAAGATGTCCACACCCTAATCCCCAGGACCTGTGACTATGTCACTTTTAATGGAAAAGAGCACTTGCAGACGTGATCAAGTTAATAACCTTGACCTGGGAGTTTAGACTAGATTATCCAGGTGGGCGCAGTGTAATCGCGAGGTCCTCCTAAGAGGGCAGCAAGATCGAAAGGGAAGAGGCAATGTGAAACGGAAGCAGAGGTTCGAGTGATGTGATCTGAAGACAGAGTGACGAGGCTGCAAGTCAAGGGACACGGGCGGCCTCCAGAAGGTGGGAAAGGCCAGGAAACAGACCTTCCCAGAGCCTCCAGAAGGAAGCAGCCCCACCGACACCTTGACTTTATCAGAAGGAAACAGATTTTGAACCTTTGACCTCCAGAACTAGAAGATAATAAATTTGTGTTGTTTTAAGCCACTCAGTTTGGGGTGACTTGTTATGGCAGCAACAGGGAACTCATACGGTGTCCACATCTGGCTTAATCTGCTATGGCTTGGGCAGAGGTGAAGGTCAGATGGTACAAATGGCAGCCTTTTCTGGGATCTGTGGGTGGGGTCTGCAAGAAAGGGGGTCCTTGGGGCCGGCCGAGTGGCTCAGTTGGTTAAGAGCTCGCTCAAGAGTTTGAGCTCTGAGCAACAGCGATTCTATTCCCGGCCTGAGCTGAGCTGCCGCTAAGCTGCCAACAGGTGGCAGGATGGCTCAGCTTAAAAAAAAAAAAAAAAAAAAGGGCGGCCGAGATGGTTAAGGGCTGGCTTGGGATGCCAGAGGGCCCCGGTTCGGATCCCACATATGAGGGCCAGTGACACTGCCCTCTATAGCTAAGATGCTGAACGGCAGCTCAACCTGGAGCTGGGCTGCTGTGAGTCGCTGGCGACGGCATAGGCTGCAGCCCCTGTGGCAGTGGGTTGCCATGGGCTACCGTGTGTGGCCAGCAGCCAACGTGAGCGGCCAGCAGCTGCAGTGAGCAGCCGTCCAGAAGCCGGCGACTAATGTGCCTCACCCGGGAAGAGCGCAATGATGGTGCCAACTTGGACCAGTGAAGCAGCGTCCTCCACAACTAGACTGAAGAACAAAAAGGACAGCAACTTGTCTGTTCCCCTTCCCCCAATTCCCCAGCACTGTTCCCATCCCCCCAATTCCCCAATAAAAATAAAATAAAAAAAATAAATAAAAAAGAAAGGGGGTGCCTAGAGCTGCCCTCTGTGCCCCGACTCCACACTCTCCAGGCCCTCTTCTGATTACTGATTCAGCTTCCAGGGGTGCTCGTGCCGGGAGGGGGCACTCTGAACAAATAGCCCTCTTGCTACAAGGCTGTCCCCTGAGGCTGGTCCATGACTGGGAACTCCTGTTGCTAATCAGCCTCCTAATGATCACTTGTCAGGTCCCAGGTCTGTTCGAAAGGAATTTCTGAGCCACAGAGCTGGGGGTGGGCCTGCCCCCTGCCCAGGCACCTCTAGTTTATCTCGAGGGCAGCACCCTTACATGCTGCTGCCTACCGTATGCTGCCGAAAATCTGCCAGTCGGACTCCAGGAATCCCGCCCCTGACTTTGATGGAGATAATGGAAGTGATCTCAGCTGACTTTGATACTAGCCAAAACAAAATATATTTAGGAGAGTAGAGGGTCTACAAACAGTCATGTGACGTGAGCCAAAGCCCAGTGGAGATAAGGTTTACACCATCAGCTGTTTGAGTTGAAACTTTTGTGCAGCTATTGGCGTGAACAATGGAGGGTGGCTGGAGCTGCATTTGACTATGGAATGTACTGTTAGTCTTATTTATTTTTTTTTTTAGCTGAGCCATCCTGCTACCTGTTGGCAGCTCAGCAGCTGCTCAGCTTGGGCTGGAGTTGAACTGCTGTTGCTCAGAGCTCAAACTCTTGAGTGAGCTCTTAACCAACTGAGCCACTCAGCCGGCCCTACTCTTAGTCTTCTCAACTTGGAGATCTTACACCCGTGTGTGTTTCCAGCAAAGACGGAAACTTGGCACACGAAACGCAATGACACCGGCTTACCTCATTGTACCAGCCAACGATGAGCTCCAGGTTGCCCACGAACTTCCGGAAGGTCTCGTATTGTGAGAACAGGTTCTCGGCGCTGCTTGGAATATCTTCTTGTTGTTGGAAGTTCAAGTACTTGACCTCTCTCAGAACTGCCACCAACTAAGGTAGATGAAGAGCAAAGACACGATCAGAGGATGGCCTCAACGTACAGCACTTAGCGACACAAGGGCGGGTCTGTCCCCATTGTGTCGTTATAGCCCGGGGTTTCAAAGCTGGGGGGAGGCACGTGCCAGCAGGATCAAAACGTCTTCACCTCGTTTACTGGTCCTGAGATAGAAAGTGCTGGCATCACCAGCATGGGTGGATGTCATCATCATACTCCCTCTGGGCTTCACCTGGGTCCGCCCTAGGACCCAACCTTCCCTGTCCCTCTCCTCCCACCTGGTCATGACCCCGGAGGTCAACAATAGTGTCCCTGCTAGCAGAACCTCTGCTCTCACTGCTCGCCGAGGGCCGTTCCCATCGAGGTCTGGTGACCTTTATGTTGCTGAACCCATTGGTCACTTCACAGACCTCACTCATGTCACATGTCCTCTCAGCGTTGGTCAGTGCCTCCTGCTGCACACCAGACTCTCCTGGTCACATCAGCCTCTTGATGTTTTTAAGGTTTGTGTGCTGGAGAGCCAGACGTAGGGCCTGGCCCCTGTCAATCTACTCGCCTTCGGGATCTCACCCAAATTATGGCTTTAAGATCATCTCTGTATGGGTGAGCCCCACGTTTATGTCCCCAGTCGACCTCTCTCCTGACCCCCAGACTGCGCTATCCACCTACTTACTCAGCATCTCCATTTTGATGTCTAATTGACATCTTAAACCCAACGTGGCCTAAACAGAGCAGCTGGTCTCCAGCTGCCAGGATGGCTGATTTAATTCCACCTTCCAGCTGCCCAGGCCCTCAAATGCTGGGGCTGACTGCTCCGTGCTTCACAGACTCAATTTCCAACCTGTCCGCATCTCATTGGCCCCGTGACCAAAATCCAGTCTCCTCCCCACTCACTGCTGCCACTCTGGTTCAGGTCCCCACCTTTTCATCGTCTCTCCTGATTCCAGCAAAAGGCTACTCACCGTGTCCCTGCCTCTCGCCTTGCCCTCCCCCAACCGACTTGCCACACAGCACCCAGAGGGATCCTTGACAAATACCGGGGGTGCCAAAAAAATGTATACAAGTGGACCCTTTGGTCAGTGTTGCTCAAGCAGTAGTTCACCGTAATCAGAAGTGTCTGGACGCTGATGGGAACCACTCTGAGCACCTCTTATAATTGCAGAAGTCAAACGTGACATGTATTCATCTTTTTTTATCAGTATATATTATTACAATTTTAATAGTTTTCCTTTCTTAAAATGTGTATACATTTTTTGGCGCCCTCTGTATGATTAGATCAGGGCCCTCCTGTGCTGGAAACCCTGCACTGGCCGCCGTGTCACTCAGAACCAAAGCCCAGTGCCTTGGATGGCCTGATGGCCCAGGAGCTCTCAATGCTGTCCCTCGCCCCCCCCCCCCCCGGCTCTCTCCAGCCACCTGACAGGCCTCTGTGTGGCTCCTGGAGCAGGCCAGGCACACTCATACCTCCTGGCCTCTGCTTCCACAGTGAGCTGTCCTTGGGGCTTTCTGCAGGCGTCTATGGGCTAAGTCCCAGACTCTGATCCCTGGCGCCTTGACCCCCAACGCCCAACCCCCAACCCCTGACTCCTGACCCCTGACCCCCACACGGTGTCTTTGCTCACATCTCACACCCACACCCCTTCCAGTTCCATGGGTCCCCTTCCCACTTCTTTGGGGCACCTGTCCTCAGCTCAGTATGATACGCTTCACCTCTTTTGCGACGCTAGCCGATCGCACTCCCTCCTGTAGGAGGCCATGCTCTCTGTCCGCCTGGCTCACTAATTTACCCCAAGCACTCACACACAGTAGGCAGTCAGTACACATTTGTTAGATAAAAGGAAGAATGGATTTAGGTGAAAGAGAAGGTTTCAGAGGACAAGTCACACCTGGGTTCCCTGCCTCCCTGGTCTGATGGCTGACTTCAGAGCAGGCAGACGCAGCCCCGTTGGGGCAATGCCAGCAGCAGAGATTCAGGCTGCTCTGGACTCTGTCCTCGTCCGTCCTCCGTGAGCGTCTACACTGCCGGGTTTTAGCCCAGATCGCCCTCCCCACAGCCCACAGAGTCAATTCCTGCAGCTTGCCCGACTTCACCAGAGGGCCCACTTGTTCAGATCCTGCAAAGATCTTTTTTTAAAATAATAGATTCTCAAACTGATGTTTCCTCTTGGGATCCCATGAAAGGCAGCCCAGCGTTGAAACGGTGTACTTATCGAAGCAATTTTCAAGAATGCTGCTAGTCTGTCTCAGCTCTTAAATATATCCTGGACATTCTTTGAAGAACACTTAAAGAATAAAGCTTTAGCTAACTATGACATAAACATCAACGCCCACAAATCAGTGCTGTTGGTAGAAGGGGGTGAGCCTTGGCTCTGGGTCCCCCCACCTCCACCCGCAGCGGAACCCAGGGCCCGGGTGTGGCCCCGGACCCACCACCTCCCGCACCCACCTACCGCTTTGCTGAAGTTGACCTGGATGAGGTTTGTGATGGGGTCCCTCTGTACGAGGGGCTTCCCCAGGTTGAAGCGGCAGTCCTGGTCCACTCCGGCCACCCACTCCTGGTAGATCCTCTTGCGGAAATCTCTCAGCAGCTCCATCATCTCATCGTATTTCTGGTAGATCAGCTTGGCCTCCACGCTGGACATGACCCTGGAATCAGAGCCAAATGGTGTAATGAGGCACCAGGCCTCACCCACGTGGCCTCACCCACACACACTTCTCCTGTGGGGCCTCTCTAGTGAGTGCCCCAACCGCGACTGCCAGATCTTGGGGTGCTAAAGCAGACAGTGGCTTTCTGCTTCTTCCAGGCTGGGAGACGGAACCCACAAACAGATAGGGACCTCAGTCACCAGGAAGTCAAGCAGTAGCCTGGGTAGCAATGGCCCCGACGGCCAGGCCTTCGTTAGTAACTGCCTGCTGCCTGAAGCTCTGTGCTCCCTTCCAGGCGGCCTAAGCCAAATATGCTCCCCGAGGCAGCCACATGGACTGTGTTCCAGTCCCCAGGCGGGGGCACCTGAAGCCCTCCCCCTCCTCTGCCTGCCTTCCAGTCTCTGCCAAACGCAGGTGACAGTGGCCGAGGCCCTGCCGCGGCAAGCTCTGAGGAAGCAGCCTGTGCTTGTCCTCATTTGGATGGTTTCTGTTCATTTCCATCAGGCTGACCGGCAAGGGGGAGGCTGGAAGGTACTTCCTGGCCACGAGCGCTGAGGGGCAGCCCTGAGGTGAAGGGGGCACATGCCCGGTCTCCTGGCACTGTGTCTGGGAAGCCAAGCGCTGGGCGCTGTGCAGCGTGGGATGGCCTTGGGGTGGGGCCAGACCCTCCCCGCCCCCCACAGCCCGCCCGGTGCCGACTCACGGGTGCTGTATGCGCCTCAGGTCCCTCATGGGCACCTCCAGCCGCTCCTGTAGCTCCAGGCTCCACTTGAGCTGCCCGGCCACCGGGGGCATGTTTTTGTGGGTTGGAGGGATATTCCCATCGGCGGAGGCTGCAATCTGGGCATCGTACAAGATCTTGGCGTTGTCCAGCTCGGCGTCAAACATCTCCAGCATGACCGAGTACCGGGGCACCACCTCGGTGAGGATCAGAGGCCTCTCCAAGAGGCCCCCACACATGTACAGGAGCTGGGGAGAAGCGAGAGGCGCACCTCGCAGGGGTCCCTGCCACCTGCCTGGGCCCCCACTCTGGGCGGACCCAAAGCAGCCCCGCGGCTGTTGACACAGAGCTGGTGGCCAGGCTTCAGGAGGCCGCAGTGCACGCCCTGTCGAGGCAAAGAGCCTTTCTCTGTGTAGCAGCTGCTTACATGGGTGCCTCCATCACTCTCGTGCTGACAGGAGCTGAGCTCCGAAACACATGGCTTATAAACCAACGGCACAAACTAGGTCCAAGGTCCGGAAAAATTTATTCTAGGCCCAGGAGAAATCAGGGTTTGGGTAAGGAAGATTTCAACGGTTAAAAAAATGCAATTTCAAAAATTTAAAAATAGCTGTGGTACTGCATTGATAATAGCCAGGGCTTCCTCGGACAACTGGGTGGAGAAATGTCTGAATCCCAAGGATTATTCCTCTTAGGAAGAGCAGTAATCCTCAAGGACGTGCCCAGGCAAGAAAACCCACCATCAGTAAGTTTGTTTTGCTTTAAAAAAAAAAAAAAAGAATCGATGGGGAAAGGGGAAAGAGAGGGGAACCAGAGAAAGGGAGGCCAACCTCGCACTACGTGCGGTCCCCAAATTACAAAACTCACCCAGGGCTGGGTGTGAGCAGGAACCTGCGTGAGTGTCCTGGGGCTATGGTAACGAAGTACCACGACCTGGGAGGCTTAAACATCAGAAAGGAGCTCTCTCCCAGTTCTCGAGGCCGGAAGCCCACAATCAAGGTGTCAGCAGGGCATGTGCCCTCTGAGGCCCGACGGGAGGAACTGTGCCAGGCATCTCCCCTGGCTCCTGGGGGCGGCCCATGATGCTGGCATTCCTTATAGACCTATCACTCCACCCTCTGCCTCCATTGTCATGCGATTTCTCCCCTCTGCATCTGTCTCACTCTCTCTTCTCCTCTTTTTACGAGGACCCCAAACATAATAGATTCAGGGCCCACATCCCTGCAGGAGGCCCTCAACTTACATCCATCTGCAAAGACCCTGTTTCCAGGTGAGGTCACATCCAGGGCACCAGGGGCCCAGGCACATCTTTCTAAGGACACAGTCTAACCCACCAGCTGCGGGGTGGGGGGTGGGGGGGGGCGCATTTCAGCACTGGGCTGACCAGGATGGAGAGGGAGGTGGGGACAGGGCCCAGATCACGTCCACAGGTGTGGAGATTGGGAACCACTGACGAGGAAGACTCGGCCGGGAGCACCTGAGGAAATTGCAGGAGAGCCTTAGAAGTTCTGTGTGGGCCATGACATGGGGTGGGAGCTCAAGCCCAGGTTACCTATGTCCCCGAGGAACAGGGATGGCCTGGGTCTCTTTAATGTGTCATTTCTGTGAGAGGAAAGGCTGGGTCTGCAGACCTGGTAGCCAGAGAGCCACGGCCTGAATGACTCCAGGCGGCTGTCGTGGCAATTCTGAGACTAGTGACCAGGCCCGAGCACCTGTGCAAGCAGTCAGCATGTCACCCGGCAGTCTGTGTAGGATAAAACCTGGGAACTGTCTACGAAAGAAAAAGCTTAGTAGGAGAGAATAAGTGTCTCATCTGGGTGTTTCAGTCAGGGTCCCGGCTGGGTTGGGCGCTGGCTCACACTGGGGTATCTATCGAGGACAGTTACACAAAAGATCATTGCACGGGGGTGAGGAGGGGGGGTCACCAGGGAGCAGGCAGGCCTGGGGGCAGGCGGCGGCCCTACCGGACCTGGAGGGAAAGGGGGCGTGTGGGATGGACGCTGGAAGGAAGGCCCAGAAGCTCTACACCCCAGGCAGGGGCGAGGAGAAATGCCTGGGGCTCCCCTTGACCCCTCTGTCAGCCAGGGCTCCCCCAAAGGCCAGCCAATCAGTGCTCAGACCGCACCATCACATTTTCTCCGGGACACATGGCCGCAGCTCTTGGTCTCAGATTTGCCATTTTTTGGTTTGAAAAATGTGACCACTGTCCCTAAAAACGGCCTTTTGCGGAAAGAGTGAAAGGTGGCTCGAGAGAAATGAGAGGGTTTCAGGTCCCACAGAGCCCGACGGAGCAGCCCCGACCCCTGTGACAAACGACCCCTGATGTTCTGTGTGGCTCCCCTCCCTCTAGCTTCCCGCAGGGGAGCGACCAACATATTAGGTCACCAGTGCCATTTTTTAAAAAAACTGACAGGTGACAGTTGGGAAAAAAAAATCAAACAAACATTCCTCTTGCTGGTTCATAACCCTTCTGACTCTTTCTCCCTTCTCATTTTCCCCCTTCCCTTCTTCTCATATTTACATATTTTTTTGGCTTCTGGCATCTGGGAAGAAAGCTAATTTTATTTTCTGCCAGGAGGAGATCATGTGGAAAATTGCTCTAGAACTTTCCTGGCTCTGTATGAATTACTGACAGCGAGAAACAGCATTGCGGCAGCTTGGGGACAGGCAAGGAGTGGAGGGGACGTGCGGGAGGGGCGGAGGGAAGCCCAGGGCCCATCCTAATCAGAGCACAGGGTTGTCCAGCGTCTCCAGGTGGAGAAAGATGGAGATGGATTGCAAGAGCTGCTTTCTAACTTACTTTCTTTCTGTTTGTTTCTTTTCAATCTAGCACAAACATAAAGTTAACCTTTAGAAAATGACTTTTGCTTTTGGGGTACTGAAGCCATCGGATTTGGGCCATGATGGGAGAGCGAGTGGCATATGTTAGAGCCCCAGGGTAGAACTGGTGTGTTTGTAAGTTTGAGCTCATGTGGCGCCGTCAATCCCGCAGGCGCCGGAGTGAGTTTCCTCCTGGACCCCCTCGTCCCCTCAGAGTGGGGACCTGGTACACGGGGTCACCAAGGGAACAGGCCTCCGTTTCATGCAACAGCCCAGCCTCGTCCCCCTTCTTAGAAAACAACACAGCGTCCATCCTGCCAGCAAGGGGTGGGGTGGGGGTGCCTCGCCCGCGTGAGCCCTCACAGGAGGTGGGAGGGGCTCACTGCTTGGCAAGCCAGTTGGTCAGCTCCAGCGTCATCTTGGACTTTGGGGACCTCACAGAGGAGGACCTGTGAGGTCCATATTTAAGGACGGGCTGGAAACCTCTGCGTGGGCCCTCCTGCACTGGGCAGCCCTTGGGGCTTTGTGCTAACGCCCTCGGGGATCGACGCTGAGCGTCTGCCCTAGTGTGCGACTGCCGCCAGGACTCTAGTAATACAGCCGCCTCAGCGGGGGCCGGTCCCCTACTGGAGCGAAAGCTCAAAAGCACCTGATGTGTGCTGGGCTTGGTTCTGAGTGAACCCAATCAAGTGCCTGCCCTCTGGGGGTTGATACTCTAGTTGGAAAGACCATGAACACAGAGAGATCTACACCAGGGAGGGCTGAGGCCTAAGAACGACAACTGAGCAGCTCAGCCTCGGAGACGGAGAAGAAAGGGTGGGGAGAGGAGAAGGCTGCTGAGGTGGGAGGTTCAGGGAACGGCGTGGAGGCACTGTTGTATTAATTTGCATGCATTGATATTTGCCTGAGCACCAATTCAATCCAGGACTTAACAGATCATTACATTTGCAGAACTTCAAATTCCCAGGCATTTACATCTTTAAAAAGGATGTCTACAGAGAAAAAAAAAAAAAGAGAGAGAAGAGACAAGAAAATTGTGGCATTTGCCTTGGAGAGACCTTTGTGCTCAGGGGTGGCAGGCTTCCTGGGTCCCCAGCTCAGCCCCTGGAAGTCCAGCCTGACATCCTCTGGAAAGACGGCCACCACCCTGAGCTGCCCAGGTCAACTTTACTGCCTGTCTGGCCCAGTGGTTCGGAACAGGGGTCCAGGAAGCAGTCAAGCTCAGGGCTGGTTTGGGGTCCTGGTGCCTCGACTTGCTGGCTAGCTGTGTGACCTTGGGCAGGTTTCTTGACTTGTCTGAGCTGCTAAAATGGGACGGATAACATAGGTGATGAGTTTAGCGAAGAGCCTGGAATGTTGTGAGAAGTAAATGAGATAACACAGTGCTTAGCAAAGTGCTGGGCCCTGGGATCGTGTAATAATCACCGGGCCTCTCCTGTGGGCATTGCACTACCCATAGCAACTCAGAAGCTTACAAAGCGAAGAGAAGCGATGGCTCCAACCTGCCGAATCAGTCGACAGACATGCATAAAACTAGGCAGAGAAATAAAACAGCTACCCAGCATATACATACAGTGTATAGTCAACACTCAGTACCTGTTCTCCAGGTAAGTTGCAGCCACAAGCCCTACATCCCGCAGAGACCCCTCTGTCGTTTGCAGGGGCAAGGCAGGTCCATAAATGCACGGAGGAGGCTGGGCTAGGCCAACAACGGGGAGGTGGGGACTGGAGACTGGCCACTCACGCCCTGTCTGCAGGAAGCAGCAGCTGTGCCCCTGGGCCACAGGTTCCCACGAGGGATCGTGCGCCCAGTGTGGCCTTGTCTGCTTTTCTGAGAGGGTGAAAATCGGGACGTTTATGTGCACTTTTTCAGTTTGTATATGTTGGTGGTTAATTTAAAATTTTAGTGAAGTGCCACATGAGAAACGGCTAATCGTAGAAAGAGTAGATTTGTGACTGCCTAAGATGGGGGAGGTTGGGGAGCAGTGGGGAGTGGCTGGGGGTGCTGAAAATGTTCTGAGGTTAGCTGTGGATAGTTACACGCCTCTGAATATACGAAAAGCCATTTAACTGTATGCTTTAAATGGGTGAATTGCATGGTATGTGAATTGTATCTCAAAAGTACCACATGAGCCGGAAGGAAGCCACCGGGGGTGTTTGTATGGCCCGAGCCATTGGTTTGTGCCTCTGCTGAATGGGTTTAAGTGCCCATGTTCTGAGCTCTCAGATGAGACTCAGATGCCTGCCAAACACTGGGAAGTCCAATCGTCATTCTGGCGACTTAACTCTGAGCACTGCTGTTTTCAGTGGGGGTGTGTGTGCAAGTTTACTTTGTTCATTATGTTTTTCTGAGTTTATAATTTAAATTAGCTGGCTTCCCCTCTGGTGATTTGTTATAGCAGCAGAAGGAAACAGATACAGAGGCTGATGCCATGAGGTGTTTGACCAACTCACAGACTCTGTTCTCATTCACACTTTTTGAGCACCACCCGACTGCTCGGTGAGGGTCCTGGTTTGCCCGGGGCTGAAGGGGTCTCTGACATGCTGGACTTTTGGTTTCAAAAGTGGACAGTCCTGGGAATACTGGGGTGTGAGCTGATTGCCCCAAGTAAAGAGGTTTGTCCACAAAGAGAAGATGTGCTCAGCGTTGGACCCGCTCAGGCTGTAAGACAGAGAAACGGTGCATTGGCCGGGACCGGGAAGGACCGGGGCAACGGTCGGCAAACTTTTGAGACAAAAGAGCTGCCAGGGGTGGGCAAACTGTGACCCGTGAGCCACATGCGGCTCTTTGGGTACGTACATGTGACTCTGAAGTAAAATTGAAAATGAAAATAAAACTATCATAGTTTCATTTATAAAATTTTTAAAGGCTATTATTCACATAATGGTGATTTCATTTGTTTTATGGCTCCCAAATAATTTTTAAATCGTTGTGAGGGACAGGATTGGCTCTTCCAGGGGTTGGCAAACTTTTGAGATGGAACGTACCCAAAGAACCACATGTGACTCGCCAGCGCAGTTTGCCGACCCCTGATCCAGGGCGTGCCTCCACGCCCCCACATGCCATGGCTAAGAGTCACTAGCTCCTCCGGATTCTAACTGACCTGGTTGGTGACAGTGACACCTTGCTGTTTTAACTTGCACCTTTTAGATTATTCGTGAGGCCAAACTTAAAACACGTGTGTGTATTGGCCATTTATAGTTCTCTTTTGAATTAATATACTCTAGGGGTTTTTGTGCTTCTCTATGACCTAGTTTTTAATGCTTCTTTCAGAGCATCATTTCTTTTTTCTAGTTGTGAAAGTACCACACACTTAATGCACGCGACTTGGAAGCCATCGAAAGGGACACAAGACTGACCGGTATTAGCATCACCCCACTATCCAGACATGGCTCCCTGCGACGATTCTGTGTTTGTTTCTTGAGTCTCACAGGTGAAAGGATGTAAATTTGGCTCAGCGGGTCAAAACGTGGATGTGTTTTGTTTTGATAGCAACTTTGTCTCGCTCTGACTCTTGCTCCTCTTAAGTAGAGGGGGATCAAACCGAATAAGGATAAGTGGACAGCTGCAGGTACTGAGCACGAGGAGACGCCGAAAAGCACCTGCCACCGTGTGCTCTCTCCTCTTACTCTAAGACGTGGCAGTAAAAGCCGCCAGAAGCTATGCGAGGTGCCTACGGCCGACTTGCTCTGAGACACCGGCACAGGCCCCTGCCTTCCTGGGCTCCACTGCTCATCTTCAAACCAAGATGTCTGATTAGATTGTCTCTGAGGTTGTCCTCAGCATCCAGCGGGTGCTGCCCCTCGGCGCAGCGTTCCCACCCACGCGTACCTTTGCGCAGGACTCGATTGAACTGTAGTCGTCGAACCCTCGGCAGAAGATCGTGGCCAGCCTCCTATCCAGATCTTGAATTTTAGTCTCAAAATCAGCGTAATCGTGATCAAAACTCTAAAAGTGGATTAAAACATCAACCCCTTAATCGGCACACAAAGCAGGGGTCGGTGCCTGCCCCAACACCCCCACACCCGCTGGCAGGGTGCACGCACTGTCTGGGGACTGCTCCGCCCGCAGAGTTCTTGTGACGTCTTTGAAAAGTGTTGGGGGCCGGCCAAGTGGCTCAGTTGGTTAAGAGTTGGCTTAAGAGCGCGAGCTCTGAGCAACAGGGCCGCTGGTTCGATTCCCACATGGGCCAGTGATACTGTGCCCAAACTGAGCTGTCGCTGAGCTGCCAACAGGTGGCAGGATGGCTCAGCTTGTGTGACAACAAAATTGTCTATTCCACCCGCGACTAAGACTGAACTTGGCACCTTGAGCTGAGCTGCCGCTTGGATGGCTCAGTGGATAAAACATGCGCTCTTAACAACAAGGCTGCTGGTTTGGCTCCCACATGGGATGGTGGCTACGCCCACCCGCAACTAAGATTATAACACAGCACCTTGAGCTTAGAGGCCACGAGCTGCCGACGGGAAGCCAGATGGCGACTGGCGCCCTCCACAATGAAGACTGAAGAACAACAACTTGGCTGGTCCCCCTCCCCCAATTCCCCAACACTGTTCTCCTCCCCCAATTCTGCAATAAAATCTTTAAAAATAAAATAAAAAGTGTTGGGACCCCCGCCACACACGCCCCCTCCGTGTGCCTCCCACTCCCGGGCGTCTGTCATTGCCTAACTTACTGAATCTTCCGGGTCCAAGGGGTCGTATTTGCAGTCGGCAAACACCCTCACCAGCTCGAAGAACTCCTCGTAGATCTGAGTGACCAGGCTGGCCAGGAGGTTCCCTCTCACTCCCCCCAGCTCAATCTTCTCCAGCTTCAGAAACTCGATCGCGGTTTTATAAAGGTCCTGACAGAGGGAAAGCCCGGCGCCCCGTCAGCCCCTCTGCACAACCAAGCTCAACCATTCAGCACAAACCAATTCTGACGCCAGCAGCATGGTACCCCGGGGCCACACGACAGCCTGGGGCGGGGCGGGGGGCTCCGTTGATTCTTGCTAATATTCTCAAATGTCCTTTCCAGAACACAGAGAGAAGGCACGGAACAAAGGGTTCCGTGAATCATGTCCAAGTAAGGAGGAGATGAGGTTGGGCTCTTGTCCTGACCCTGAGGCCGAAACGCACCTCTAAACACATCACACTGTTCTGGGCCCCGTGTCCTCGGCTGGGGAGGTAAGCCGTGAAAAGGCCCATGGTGTTTCCGACGCTCTTGCTAAGCCGTGAGCGCTCTGCTTCCTGGGAAGGCCACCCTACACTTGGAGCCCGTCCCTGGGGTGACCTGAGAGGATGCCTGATAAATACCGCATGTAAGTTCTACCGCCTCTGCGCTGCCGCTCACCCTTCCTGGAGGCTCTCCAGCCAGTTTAGCCCAGAGTCCCCGCTTTCCCTTCAGAAGCCCCATCTGCCGCCTGTGCTCTGCGTTCTGGCACCCAATCCCATTCGGTCTCCACGTTGTTATCTAGCGCTTCCCCGTGTAGCTCTAGTTTTCCGATCGGGAGCCCAAAGGCTCCTCGAGGATCACAGCGGGTCTGGCACGGTGCCCACAGCTGACGAGACTGAAAGCGCTCGTCAGTCCCCTGGGCCGGTACCGAGGTGGGCACCATTTTGCCAAAGTGTCCAAGATGCATCAAGTCACAGCCAAACCCCGTGAGAGCAGCGGCGTGGCCGTGCCCTGGGCTCTTCCACGCGAGGAGAAGGCATGGCCGGCACGGCCATGTGGCGGGGTGGGTGGGGGACAGTAGAGCCATTTCTGCCACCCCCCCAAAGGCTCCTCTCGTCTAGAAACCTCATCCCGATTTGGAATCTGTAATGTAGGAACCAACAGCTGCTTGGCCAGAGGCTTGACTGCACCTCATGTTTCCTTAGGCACAAAGGAACGCTCTGCGGTGGAAATCTTAGAGGCCTAAGTGGGCCTGCCCTCTGCCTCCCAGGGTGTGGTTGAGACCAGACGGGCCTTCCCAAAGCCACTGCTGCTGGCTCCCACCACCAAGTCAACGCACAGTGGTTCCAGGACCATTTCCCCCCACCTTTTAATAGTGTGAATCGTATGTGCACGAAGTTGAAAAAAACAAAAGAAACAGGACATTACAAAACCAAAAGCAAAGCTTTCTTGCTCTACACATGTCTTACTTTTTCTCCCAGAGGAAACTCTCTTGAACCATTGTTAAATTTTAATTTGCTATGTGTCACTCCCTGTACCCCAAAACTGCTCTGCAAGGTTCCTCCTCGTCTCCCTTTATGCCAGCCTATCCCGTGAGCTCTCCCTGTGGCCTCCAGCCTTCCTGACCATGGTCGTTTCATGTGGCATTAGCGTGCTCACAGGCGGAAGGCATGAGAAAAGGGGAGAAGCCACCAAAATGGACCCCTTCTGTTCTTGGTAACAGCTCTGGGCCTGGGGGTGAGGGGCCGGCCGGATGGCTCAGTTTCCCCATGACATGGACTGGGGGGGGTGTGACTCTTGGGGGGTGTGTGTGATGAGGACAGAAGGGCAGCTATTCTCAGGTGAGGGCAGCCTGTGACGTGCAGCCGGAGGTGCGCCCCACTTCCCTTTACCTCGATGGTCTGGACGCGGCGGAGGAAGGCGTTCACTCTGGAAAACGCAAAAGCAGGAGGGAATTGCCAAGGCACCGGCTCTTTGCCTTCCTAGTGGGGACAGAAGGCGGAAGAGGAAAGGCGCGTCTGCCACAAGCGCCTCCACATGCACCAACGCCCGGCTGATGTCCCGCCAGCCTCGCTTCCGCCCTGACTGGCCTGCAGATGACGCCGTACCTTGAAGAAGAGCTTCATGTTTGCACAGCAGAAGTCGTAGGCCCGGTATAGCTCCTTCAGGACATTCACAGACAGCGAGATGCCGTTCAGGACCTCCTCGATTTCGCCTTGCAAGCCTTTCAGCACCTCTTCTGGGCTCAGGTAAGTCCGTGTCTGGGCAAAAAGAAGACATTCCAAAGTCCTGACGTGCCACGTGGGGTGCCATCCAGGGGCACCGTCTGCAGGCGGGTGGGCCGGTGAGAAGCCGTGGGGCCACAGGACCTGCTTTTCATGACACATGGACTGCCCCTCAGGTTCCTGTTCCAACCTGTCTGCCAACCGCTGGGTGCTTTTCAGGAGACCGAGCTGCTCCCCTCACCCGGCACTCAGCCCATGCTAAGGCTGCCCCACATGGATTTGAGTCACAGGTGACTGGGGCCCTCTAGCGGTGAGAAACACGGTCTTGCCACGGGCTCGGGGTCCCGGCCGCAGCTCCCTTCCAGGTGTCACCCCCCACAGGCAGCCCAGGCTGGCTAATGTGTGCTGAGGGAGACGGGAAGCGGCTCAGGGCAGGACCAGATGCCTCCCACCCCACACACACTCCTGACTGAGTCTCGGGGTGCTGGGATTTGCGGGGCGAAGCCCCCTTCCTTTTCTCCTCCTTCCGACATGGGGAGGTTGGGCTGGCACTGCCCAGGTCCTGGGAGAATGCTGGGTGGCCACCAAGAAGACCCAACCCCAGCCCAGGCCTGGAAATCCCAGTGCCAACATCTCTGCTTGTTTTTCAGCGGCGAGGGAACGTGGGCAGGGGGAGGACGGACCGGAAGGGGAGAGAGGACCCAAACGGGAGGCGGCGGCCACGGGCCGGGGGAAGGGTACCATGTCGATGAGCTGGTTGCAGAGCTCCTGCAGGATGACGACAATCCTGGAGGGCACGTTGTAGTGCTCGGAGGAGGCCCAGACGAAGCAGATGGAGTACAGCACCTTGGCAATGGAGGCCGGCAGCTGTGGGGAGACAGCCGGGCGCCTCAGCCCACGGCCCCAGGAGGGGACCCCGAGGCACAGGGACAGGCACTCCTCAGCCCACACGCCTGATCCCAGCCATGTGGCCCCCACCCCGCACCCCAATACGCGAGACCAGCCCCTGCACTTGGCCCCTGTCTTGCCGACAGACCGCTGTGAGGTCGGCCTGCTCCATCTCCTCCAGTGAGACCCGCAGGGGCGTCAGGTACAGCACAATGTCGCTGGCTTCCTGCAGCCCTGCATGGGCCAAGGTCAAGGTCAAGGACGAGGAGAGCGTGCACACAGGAGCGAGCACCCCCGCCCCCTCTGCCCCCTCACTGGTCAGAAACGGTGCCTATGCAGCTCTGTGTGTTACGGAGATCTGCTGCTTCAAGAAACAAGGCGGGGGCCAAGGAAGCTGCCCATGGGAGAGGCGACTCCCCCTGGGGTTGGCAATGGTACCCCTGCCCCTCCCGGAAGGCACCGGCAGCTTCCTCAGGGGCTCTTGGTGGGTCCCCAGCTCACCTTTAGTGACATTCATGTACACGTTTTGCAGGGCTGGCCAGTAGCAGCTTTTGGCTTTTTCCAGGATCTCAACCATTTTGTTCACCTTGGGCCTATTTAGCTGAGAAGGAGAGAAGATGAACCTTTCAATAGAAACCTGAAGACCCTAAGAAAAGGCAGCCCGAGCCTGCGGCTGGCAGGAGCATTACCGCAGGTGATCCGGGTCCCCTCGGGGCTGCTGGGGCTCAGCACAGAGAGGTCGAGGTCGAGGTCACCATGGTGGAGAAGAGGTGTCACCTGGTCATGGATGCACTTGAGATTCATCAGCCGCGTGTTCCAGAACTCCAACTCGACTCGGGGCAGAGGGTGCAGCCCGTCCAGCAGGTCCTGGGCAGAGTCTTTGCTCAGCACGTCCCTGATCTGGTGGGACCAGTCGATGACGATGGTTTCGATGGCATGCAGCACTGAGCTGTCCAGGGAAGAGGGGAGCCTGCAAAGCAGAGGGGCGGGGTTCCACCAGCTCTGCCCCTTCCAGGGCGGGGGGAAGGGGAGAAGGGGGGTGCGGAAGCTTGTCTCTTCCCCAGCGGCCTTCAGCCCACAGGCCCCAAATGTTGGCTCATGTCCCCAAGCTCCTCACAACCACCTTGGGGAGGCTGGAGGGTTCTCCAAGGCTCACCGCTAAGGAGAGAGCCTGAGCAAATGATGGGTGTTGTCACAGATGTGAGACCCACACAAATAAAACGCTGGAATAAAATGCTCAAGATGGCTGCCCTCAGCAGTTCTTGCTGGGGTCCCACGGGGCACGTGCTGGGGGCTCAGTGGACGACCCATGGAGGACCTGCCCGTTCGAGGAGCCCCCGAAGCGGTCACCTTCTGATGGGAGTAAATGGGACGAGTCATTGCCCTGTACAGCTCCAAGAGCCTCAGGCACCAGGCGGTGGCAACGGGTGGTCAGGCATGTGCGAGGGGACATCTCAGAGTCCTGCTGCTTCCTGGGGTCCCTGGGGTGCCACAGCCTCTATTCAGACCCAGTCTCTACCTGCTGAGAATCCCTTCCACGCCCCCCAGTGCCCCCCAGTGTACCCACATCCTAAAGCTGGGCATCCCCTTTCCTGGCTGTGTGACATGTGTGACAGTGTGGCCTCCTGTGCGTGCCATGTGATGCCTGGACTGACACACATGCACGATGGGGGAGGGGCTCCAGTGCTCCAGCCTGTCCTGCCCTTTTGCCTTTGACCTCAGACTCAGAGCCGTCACACAGAGCTGTTTTGCCTTCAGATGTTTCATCAGCTTCACAACCAGTGGCCATGAGACCATTTATCGTTGGTGGTCAGGGACCAGCTCCTTCTCCACTCAGTCAGTTTCTGGGGGGCGGGGGGGGGGCGCCCACCTCTCCATGGACTCCAGCGTGCCGTCCAGACTGCCCAGGTGCTCGGGGATGGGCAGCAGAGTCTTCCCTTTGACCTTGCCCCCCATCACAAACATCTCGTTCTTCAGGTTGTGGGCTTGTTTGACAATGTCTTCCGAGACCACACGGGGCCATCCGCTCAGGTTTTCACTTTGGTTTAACAGAGAGTAGAGGACCTGAAAGGAAACAGCTGTGTAGTTCAGCCCGTGCCTTCTCCAACTCTGTGTCACCCCCAAGGAATGGGGGGCCCTCAGTGCCCAGAACCGGGGGAAACCAAGTCCTTCCATGCCAGGTCTAAGGAGTCCTTAGACCAAGGGCGACAGCCCAGCGCCTGTGTCTTTGTAGGGCAAAGCCATCTCCATGAAGGGAGACCTATTTCTTGGAACGACAGCNAGAAGGCAACCCACAGATGACGGAAAACATCTGCAAATCATACACCTGACAAGGGAACTGCATTCAGAATATTTGTAGAACCTCTAACACAATAATAAAAACACAAACAGCATACTTAAAAATGGGTAAAGGATATAGATAGACATTTTCCCAAGAAAGCAGTACAACTGACGAGTAAATACATGAAAAGACACTCAGTGCCATTCGTCGTCACGGAAAATGCAACTCCTCAGGGAAATGAACGCATATGAGGTCTCTAGAGAGTCAAAGTCATAGAGACAGAAAGTAGAAGGGGTGTTACCAGGGCCTGGAAGACGGAAGAATGGACAGCTAGTGTTTAATGGGGACAGAGCTTCAGCATGGGACGATGGAAGGTCTGGAGGATGGCAACGGGTGCACAACAGGCAACAATGTGTGTGTACTTAATGCCACTGAACTGTGCACTTAACAATGGCTAAAAAAGTAACATTTTATGTCATGTATTTTCTACCACACACAAAAAAGCACCACTCCACTTTGAGACCCAGGCTCTCTGGACACTTTTGTGCCTCCCCGCTTCTCCTCCCAGCCATCCCACACTCACTGAGGACTCTGGGTTCCAGGCCATTCTCACGTTTTGCTCCCCCTGCCTTAGGGGACTTCCGTGTCCATGCAGATGACCTCAGCAGTCAGTCCCCTGGCCTCCCAGCTCCTTGGCCTCCTCGGTTGCTCCCAGCATGTCTGCTCCTCGCTTTAATCGACCCCTCTGCTTGCCCGCCCATCATCCCACTGTCCCCTCCTCCCTGTCTCCGTTAGATCCCTGGGACCATGGCTCATTGCTCTGGCAGTGACCTACCCCCTGGCCTTTCCTTGCCCCACTGGTACCACCGCTCTTGCACCTGAGCTGAGCTGGTACCGGTGACTGAACCCTGCTGGAGAAGTCGCACATCTGCACACTCACTGAGGCCCACGTGCTGCCTGGATGTCTGCTGGGGTTTTTTTGTGTGTGTTTTTTTCTAATGAAAAAAAATTTTTGTTGTCACCTGGCTCTGCTGTGCTCCAGGACAACTCTTCAGAACCTTTATTTTTCTCAAGTCCCTGACCTTTCTCTTCCCTCTCAGGAGATGACCTCCCTCCCCTTTACCTCAGTTAGAAAAAAACAGAAGCCGTCAGAAGCAAGTGTCTGAATTGTCTGTAACCAAACCTGATGAAACAGAGGTGGTACCCTCTCTCATGCCTGGGGTCCCCTCTTCTCCAGCCCACCTGCTTCTCTATCTTTTTTTTTTCCTACTATCATCTTTGAAACATGCACAGACCACGACCATCTTAGAGAAAAATCCTTCTGTAACTCACTTTGCCCTCCATCCCTTCTCCCCTTCACTGCCACACTTCTCTCAAGAATTGCCT